TGGGTGCAGCCTGGAACGGCGTGCTCCGGGCACTGCCCAGATCTAGCCTGCCAAAAATATGGCAGCCAGATAAGCAGCCTGTGGGAATGGAGTTTGTGAATGCTTTCCCTTGGCACCCCAGGCTGGGCCTCCCCTCCTTTCTGCCTTATTGGAGGTGGAGGGCATTGTCAGACCCCATCAACCGCAGATGCTTAAGCTAGTGTTGAGGAGTGGGGAGAGTTTGCCGGGTGGAGACGGAAGAAGGACCTCCTGCCTGGTGGAGCTGCACGAGTAAAGGTAGCCAGAGGGAAGCCCACGGTTTTGCCCATGACCTTTGAGTGCATGTGGAAGCCCATGGGAGCCAGGGATGGGCCAGAGCAGCTAGCAGTGTAGCTTGAGGTGTCCGTGAGGACCCTACTGAGACACTTGGTCATCTCCTGGGGCAGATGGGAACCTGGCAGGACAAGGAAAGAAAGATGGCTTTCAGATTACAGAGAGGCCTTCAGCAGGACAATGGCTACTGGCTCTGGTTTTATCGCCCCCCACCTGGAGCCACAGGAGTGGACTTAGGGGGCCTGGGGACAGAGCCACAGTTCCCTCTATCTATCAGCCTTGTTCTGGGCCTTGTGGTGGATAACACCATACCTCTGAAGGAAAGCACGTAGAGATCTTCTTATCCAATCCAGCCATGTCATGGAGGAAGAGAGAAGGCACTGAGTAGGCAAGGTCACATAATACAGCCAGGACCCCCAGGCCAGAGACGGGAGATGTGCTGCCCATTTGTCACCAGGATGGCCCAGTGGGGGACCTCCTGGGCAGTGCTTCTCCTAGCAGCCTAATTGGCAAAAGCATTTGCATTTCCACTTAGCCAGGGCTGCTTCCCAGGGTGTTCAGCCACTGCCTGCCAGGCAGAGGGTGCTGCATCAACACTGCTGCAGGGGCAGGGCCCTGACTGCCTGAGGGGTGGGTGGAGGGACTGCCCCTCTCCCAGACAGGCAGGGGTCTCCACTCCATCATTCACTCCCTGACCACCAGCAAGCCCAACGCAGGCTGTTGCCTGAGGCGGTGCCTGCCCATTGTGTGTTCTCCGACCCCTCTGGCCTGGCTTCCTTACCCCTGGCTGCAGAGTTCTGCCCTGAGGAGTCCTAGGTTTCCTACTTAAAATCAAAGTGGGTAGAGGTAGCGGAGCCCAGAGCAGTCTGTCGGGTGCCACCCAGCTTGTTGGGGGCCGAGCCTGGCTGGAGTGGGATCTGGAGCCTTTTCTTCAGCCGCAGAGGAAGAGGCAGAAGAACTGCTTCTCTTTCTAGCAGGGCGCTGGTGCCAGGAGAACAGGGCGCAGAAGGTGGGTGCCCTGGCAGGCTCCAAAGTCTGCCCAAGGGAGGCAGAGCTGTGCATCCCCAGCTCAGGTGGCCTGGCTGGGGTTAGACAGGAAAGTCCTCTGGTCAGAGGAGGCTGAGTCCCCACTGGGGCCAGCTCTCTGCTTCCCACCTGACTGGAGGGACAGTATGCCGCTGGGAGCCAGGCAGGACTCTGGCTGGTGGTCATAGAGGCTTTCCCAGCCACACCTCCTGCCCTCTGGAGGCTTCTGTTCTGAGGGTGCCATGAGTTTCCCTCCAGCTGTTTCCTTGGGCCCTAAAATCCCAGTGCCAAGTGGGTGGCCCAAATCCAGGGTGGGACCAGCCAGGGCTTGGGGCCTGAGCTGAGTGCCACCTTATCATCTAAGCAGCACCTCTCTTATAATGTTTGGTCCTTTTGCAGGCACCAGCCAAGGACCCCTGCAGATCCCCTTCCCCTCTCCCCCACCCCCATCTTCCGCCACCCCCTACAGCTGTCACTGGCTCAATACCTCCTGTGTCCACAAATCACTGTGACAGTTAGACCCCTTTGTCGTCTGTCCCTCGGAGACGCTCATCTTCCCCGTGGCGACAGGGAGTCCCACATACCCCAGCTAGGGCTTGGACCTCCCTTGGTGACGGTGGGGCCGGGGTGGCCGGCAGCTTCTGAGAGCAGCTCTGATGTGCTGGGGCCCAGAGGAGGGACTCGGCTGTGGGGAGTCCCAGGTGATCCTTTTGGAGGGGCAGCAACACCTATGTCATAGAGTCACTGGCCCAGAATTTCAGCTGGAGGGTGTCCTTAAAGATTTGTTCACAAAGGAAACTGACGTGCAGAGTGGGAAGAGGTCACATGGCCCATCAGAGGAGTGGGGCCATAGGTATTCTCTGAGCACCCACTTGGCTCCAGACCCTGTGTGGGGCGATCACTGAGATGAAGGAAATGATGGGGAAGCACTGGTGTGCATCCAGGTGAACACCTGGGCTAAGGATGTTGAGGCAAGAGCCCTGGACTGGGGAAGAAGGGGCTAGGGTTCAAGTCTGGCCAGGAAGTCTTGCTCTAGCCCCTCTCCCGATCTGGAGCTCCCTCTCCATCCTCACCTAGTGGATGGCATGCCCCTCCAAGGACCCCCAGCTGAGGGTAGTATGGAGACCCTGTCTCTCCATTTTAAAACAAGGTAGTGTGGACAGCTCATGAGCAACGTCTGTGTCCTTGGCCACAGTCGACCGTGGGATACTCCACCGGTCCTGTATTCCCCTCAGCCATCCCTCAGCTGCCCTTCCTGCTGGGGAATCACCTCCTCCAAGAAGACCTCTCTGTGGCTGCGTCTCGTCCAGTCTCGCCTCCAACCTCCCAACCTTCTACACCTCATTTCCATACCTTGTACTTTGGTTTTGTCTTATGATCTGGACCGGTTAAGAAATGTGCAGCCTCTTCGTGTAGTGAGTTGGAAGAGGAGGAGAGAACCTGGAAAATCTTAAGGGAAACTGCCCAATTTAAAAGCAAAGATGCCCTCACCAGAGAGCGGTCCTCTGAGGCTCACTGCTCCATTCTTTCATTTTTTCCTTCAAACCCTTCACATGCCCGCCCCTCCCGGCCCCCCCAGCACCTGCTGCTGCTTCATTTCCTCTTTCTCCCCAGGTGGGATGAGAGGGTGGGGGGGAGAACCGCACTCAGATGTCACCTGCTGATGGATGGTGGTGGCCCCAGGCCCTGGAGCCTGCTGGGCAGCACAAAGCTGGGAGCCAGGCCCCGCCCACCACGCTTCGTGGGTGTTGGGACACTGTGGGAACCATTTGCCTTTCCAGCACCGCCTAGAGCCTTGAGTCTGATTGTCAGCATGTGGACGCTTGGATTGAGAGACACAGTGCCTTGCAAGGATGGAATTGGAGGCCATCCACAGCTTATGGACCTGCGTGACTCATGCTATAACTGTCCTGGAGTCCCGTCACGGGGCTGAGCGTGAGCAGATCACAATGTACTTAGAACCTTGGCTCCTTAGAGAGTTACAATCTTAAATCCATGGGAGCTGTTCTAAATGTTAGATTAGACCCATGGGATCTTTATTTTTTTTTAAGATTTTAGTTTTAAGTAATCTCTGCACCTAACATGGGGCTCGAACTTAAGACCCTGTGATCAAGACTCATGCTGTACAGACTGAGACAGCCAGGCACCTAGACCCATGGAGTCTTTAAACAGAGGGCTCTTAGGAGCATCACACATCCGGGGAGGGGTTGGGGTTTGAACCCAGTGCTGCTGGGGATGGGCTGTGAGCCCAGGGGATGATGGGGAAACAGCCGATGGGGTCTCCCCTCGCCCTCTTTCCAGTAAGTACTGCACCTATATTTTTGTCTGTTTTATATGTTGGGGTTTCACTTGGTAAAAGGGTTCCTGTGCCTCAAAATAAAGTTTTCCAGGCCCTGTGCTGTGCTGCAGCTCCGTGCCAGGACTCGCCACAGCCCGAGAGGGTGGCTCTGGCCAGCGGGTGACTGGGCAGGCAGACGGGGGCCTCCCGGGAGGGGGTGCAGGTTGCTCTGGGCCACCGTCTCCTCCCCCTCTCACTCCTGCTGTGTTGTTGCTGCAGCCGGAGAACACTCCGGGTCTGTCGTCCCGTTGACTGGGGTGACAGTTTAATAGTAGCTTCCTGGGCTGTCATTTAAATCTGCCTGCCAGGTTAGTAGGCCAGGGGCGGGCTGGCACGCCCCCTGCCCCCACCCCGGATCTTCATTCTGCTGGCAGCGGTTGTCTTGGCAATGCTGGGGCCTGGCGAGCTCTGCAGTAGTGTAACTGTGGGGGGAGCAGCCCTTTCATCTCCCCGACCCGGGTACAAGGGGCCCAGCTGCCTTAGGGCTGGGCTGCAGGGCCGGAGCCAAGCTATCCGGTGTTGGTCCAGGCCTGGGAGAGGAAATGGGGACAGATCAGTCCCTCTGTGCTGTGGGAGGGGAAGGGACTGACCCAAGTGCCTCAGCAATCGTGTTGAGCTGGAATCCACCTTGCCTGTGGGTCTCTGCTCTGCCCTCAGAGAATATTCCCTGGGGCCCACAGCCTGTCTGCAGAAACCTGAGGGCCAGTATCCCTGACATCTCTCTCATCAACCTGTCCCATGTGGCCTGGTCCCAATCCCCCCTTTCCTGCTCTTCTCTGCACAGGTAGGTCCCCGCTCTGAGGACTGGGGTCTTCCCGTAGCTTCGGCCAAGTGTCTGTGAATACCTTCTCCTTTTTTTCATGGCTTGGTGGGGCTGGCCCAGAGACAGAAGCCTGGGTACCAGCCTCTGCTGTGTGACCATAGGCCAGTCCTTCCCCTCCCCGGGCCTCATCTTCTTATCTGCAGGATGAGGGGCTGGCACTGCAGCAGTATGCCCTCGGGTGTCGTTTATTGGCCCATTTGTTTCTTGGAAAATTAATAGACAATGGCACCTGCAAAGGATGTCCCTTGGCTAACCAGGTTTGGGAAGTGTGGGAGGAAACAAAGTCATTCTGATATCTGCAGGCCTTCTCAGGACCTTCAGTAAGCCAGTGGGGGTCATGCATCTCCAAGGGGGAAGATAGCAAGTCTTCTCACAAACATCTGGGTGGATGGCTGCCCCTGCTCTCCCGCCCCTTTGCCTCTCTCTTCCTCTGCCAGGGGCCAGTCATCCATCTCGCACAGTCTCACCAAATCCTGAAGGAAGCCCAGGCAGTTTGGAGCCATGGGTTTTGTGGGCTGCGAAGCAGTAGGCCCCTGTGCTCAGCAGAGGCTGGGTGAGCTCAGAGAAAGTAAAGCCCCTGTGCTGGGCCTCTGAGGGGCAGCTTGGTGCTGGCATGGTAGAGCTCCCAGGTCCCTTGCCACTTGCCTCCTCTCCTGCCCCAGATTGCCATTCTGCTGGCTCCCCCACACCCCAGGCCGTTATCCCACCTCCTGGAATGCCATTTGTCACCCTCCTCATTCCCGTGGTTTGGCCGACTCCTCTTCCTTGAACATAGTCCCCTCCTTCGGGAAGTCTTTAATGCCTGGTCTGGGTCAGGTGACCCACCCCCTGGCTTCCTGGCCACAGAGTCAGAATACATCAGGGCTCAAGTGCAGCCTTCCCACAAACATGTGCTGTGACCTTGAGTAGCCCCCTCTCTCTGGGCCTTGGTTTTCTGCCTTACAGAATGGGAGAGTTGTAGAGGGAGGGACCTTGGAGACCCTGGGCTCTGCCTGGACAGAGCACTGATTGCCAAGAGGAATCCACACCAAGCCGCTCCACCTGGCAGCCCTGACCGATCTTTGTTTTGAAGCCCCCTGTCTGCACTGGGGCTGCTGGATGAGCGTGGGTGGGGAACAGCAGTGGGAAGGATCTTATTGTCTCAGGGAAGGAGGCCTCCGGGGGTGGGGAAGCTGGGAGGCGCTGCGTGATCATAATAATTGCACAAGATCATAGACTCTGGGTGTTGAGCAGGACTTAAGATTCAGTCAGCACCACACCTCCATTTCCAAATGAGGAGGCAGGCCCCATGTGACTGATGGACCCGATGTCACACACACGCAGCAGCTGGGGCTGCTGACTTCCCACGCCTCAAACTTGCACCTTTACACTTTTCAGTTATAATGCTCTGATAACATCCTCAGCCCATTTGCTTCCCACAGCCTTGTGTGTTTGGCAAAGCAAGGATATTAGCTACGAATGTGGGTGAAGAAAGTGAGGCTCAGAGAAGTTGTGTAACTTGCAAAAGGTGACACAGCCCAAGTAGCAGAGTAGAATTTGTCTGACCATGGACTGTCTGATGCTTTCCTCTGCCTCTGTTCTTGTTATAAGTAGCAACGCCTCCCTCCTTTGTCCTGGATTTCCCATTCTCCCCAACTCTGCCCTGGGGTCAGCTCCTCCCCGCCACCCTCTGGAATCCCAAATCCTTTGTGGCGGCCCATCTGTTGCCATGGCACCAGATTATGATGTCGCAGACCCTGGATGACTATGTACAGCTCCTGGGTTGTGGAGTACAGGGGCTCACAGAGGTGGGCATTGTCCAAGGGGCAGACTGGCATGGAAGGAAATAAATCCCTGGAAACAGGGAGCCACAGCCTCAAGCCCAGCTGGGGAATCACCCTGGGAGTTGGAGCCAAGGCTAGGAATGGGGGTCTGGCATGGCTTGCTCTGACGGGCATGCCTTGGCAGGGCTGATGTAGCCTCTTGACGAGGGACTGTCGGGCTCATTACACTGAATGACCCAACACTGGGATGCTTGCTGGGATCACCTGGGAGAGCCTTTTTTGCCTTTTGTTCTTGTAGCAGTGCTTCATGGGAAAGCCACCCTCCCCACCCCCCACTTGCCCAGAGAGGGAAGGAACTTGCCCAAGGTCACCCAGAGAGGAGGGGGCCATGCCAGCATTCAGTCTCAGCTCTTGTTCCAAACCTTTCCATGTGGTTACAGATGTGGCCCACTAGGGCATTTAGTCTGGTCCCCAACCTGAAAGTGGTCATGCTGCCTCAGTTTCCCCAGGGTGGTCCATTAGCAGAGACAGATTGTCGCAGGCCCACAGTTATTCTGGCATACACTTTTGGGCACATTCCAAGGGAATACTTCATCTGTGTGCCTGATCTGCCTCATTGCCTTGTCCTGTGGCCCCGGGGACCTGAGAGCTATTTATTTCACTGATCACACTGCATTTGCTCTTCTGGGGTTCTCTGAGCCTGAGGGCCTTAGAAAGAGCCTGTGGAAAGAGCTCAAGCTTTGGCTTATGGAATTAAAATCCCACTTCTGCCACCTACCACCCTCACCTCTTTGAGCCTCAGGTTCCTCTTCTGTAAAATGGGATTAACAGCACTACCAGGATAGATGCGAGGAGTCACTGGGATATTGGGTGAAAGGTGCCGGGCCAGAGCACCAGGGTGAAAACTGTCCAAACCAGTCAGGACAGTGAACAAATCTGTTCTCCAGAACATGCCAGGAGTCATCCATTCCTGAGGCTGCCACTTCCTTCCTGAGCCTGTTTGGTCTCAAGGCTGCCCTTCAGGACTATGATGGTGTTTTGGCTGCCCTGGTCTCCTTGCCAGGTGCCTTCAGGGCTTGGCACACCGTGGGAGGCCAAGCTCGCTCCCAGGCTCCCAGCAAGGAGGGAGGAAAGGGTCTTTGGATAGTGTCTGGCTGGTCCAGGCCAGCGACAGAGCCCCTTTATCACCTTCTCCATCAAGCAGACCTTGCTCTTTTGGGTTCTGCCCGTTCTTCACCCGCACTGAGTTTCCGGGGGGCAGGTTGGGCTGATTTCTCTTCTGTGTGCTCAGTGCAGAGCCTGGCACAGAGGCAGGCTCACTGAATGCCAAGCCAAAGCTGCCATGGGATTTTTCCCACCTAGTTTGAGGCTTTTCTTCCAAATCTGATGCTGCTGAGTGTTTTGTTTGGGGAGCCATGGTAAGGTAGAGGGGTATCTGACCGAAGTGAAATTGTGGCCCTGCTCCCACTCAGATGTGACCTTGGGCATGTACTTAACACTTCTGTGTCAAGATTTCCTCAGCACAGAGACTGGCACACAGAATGCACTTGGAGAAGGTTTGAACAGGATGAGGGAGACATTGGTATATACATTTCTTCTCTTCTGTGGACGCTGAGCTTCTTGTGGAAGGGATGTTCTGGTGTTCATGTTACAAAATGCCCACGTGCTGTGGTTTGTAATTGTACTCATTTCAGGCTGTGGCGTTGGTATCTATTACCCACAATAGCTCCTCGGTGCGGGGCTCAGGGAGGGCTGCTTGGGGATCCGGACTGGGAGGCAGGAGAGGTGGTTCTTTCTTTTTTCTTTTTTCTTTTT